AAACCCTAAGCCCTAAAATCCCGAAACCCAGAAACCCGAAACCCCGACACAGGCGACCCTAAAAGGGCCAAGCCGCAAAGCCAAGGATTGAGTTGATGGCGGCAGAGGAGGCGGCGCGCTCGAGGGTTCGGCAAAGCTTCTTTACGTTAGGGCTTAGGGTTTAGGGGTGGGGGTTTAGGGCTTAGGGTTTAGGGCTTAGGGTTGAGTTACGCCCTACACCCGAAGCCCAAAACTCTGAACCTCAACCCTTAACAAGGCTTCTATAAAGGTTTGCAAAGCTCAAGTGGAAGGTCGACGGTATCTGGGCGTTTCAGGTTTGGTGACTAGGTTGTTTACAAGATTCAGAAAGGGTTCCACAACGTTTGGGGCTGAGGGTCGGGGGTGGGGTTCAGGTTCTGCTTTGTTGGGATTTTGGGCTTGAGGGTTCTGCAGGTTTAGGATTTTCTGTTTCGTGTTTGGGGTTTGGAGAGAGTTGCTTGGGATCTCTTGACGGAGGCATCTTGCTGTAGGTCCTTGGGGTTCAGCCTTTCAGCCAAAACCTGCAAGAAGCCTTCAGGAAAGGTCATGGAGTCATGGAACTGTCGAAATTTCGTAGCAAGCGCTGTCAAGATTTCCACGTCAAGTGTTCAGACATGTCCTCACCACGATGGAGAATTATTCAGGCAGACACTCCAACAAAGGGATTTCACACTATTCGAAGCAATCGCTCCCCAAACAGCCCGGTGTTGTTGCAGCTGGTGTTTCTTGCGCACCACTTCAAAAAAGACAGAACTGTTGTGGCTTCTGTGGAACCCAAATCGAGAGAGCCCTCCCCCCAACAAGAAAGCCTGACCAACCCAAATCCGCAACACCTCCTAAGCCCCAAACTTAGACTTAAGCCGTTGCGCACCGAATACCTTCGAGGTCTTCGAGCCCTTGCAGCCGGACTCACCGCACCCCTCTTGGCGTCATGCGATCTTCAACGAGCCCACCGGCAGCCAACAGAAGCCTTGCCATCATTGCTCGTCACGGTCTACGGTTCAATGTCCATCGGTTACAAGTTACAAGTTCCTCCAAGCTCGGGGTCCATGTCTTCGTGGTGCGCACAGGCGCTGTCATCATCGTCATCATTAATACTGCTTTCGTGAGAAGTGACTCGTGGATTCCAGTATCATCTGCGGTAGCGTCATGATTCTAGGAAGGTTCAAAGGTTGAGATCGAGCTTCGGAGGTTTATGGGGCCATCATGGGGCGACACAGAAGCCTGAACAACCAGTAATACTGTAATACTGTTGATTAGAGTTCCTTCACATCTTTATTGTACAATGTGCGTCGAAACCTTGTTTCAATGATTGAGGCCGTGTTTGCTTGTTTGTTTACATCCATAAGCTTTAGTTCAACAGACGACCCCAAAGCCCTATCGTGGCTCTGTTTTCAATAATGTAGGACTTTTGATTAAGAAACCCTGAACCCACAAGCCCAATCTGCTAGGGTTCATATACAGATCCCCCTAAACCCTATACAGATCCCTGATAAAGACCAGGGAGGTTCTGACTCAGGTTCCCATATTACGGGGCCTGTTTCCTGGGCCTTCGATTGGATTAGGATTAGGGTTCGGGCTTAAGGGCTTATAAGGGCTTAAGGGTTTAAGGGCTTAAGGGTGAGGGGTTTAGGGTCTGGGATTTAGGATGCAGGTTTATGGTTTAAGGGTTATTTTAGGGGTTTAGGGTTTGGGGATTTCAGTTCCTCCGCCGTTCTATCTTCTTCTGTAACTATGCGAGTCGTCAAAAAGTTTTGTTCGTGACATGCTAAACCTTCAAGAGCTGTGGGCCCGAGTCAACGACTGTTGATGGAGGTGAGGAAAACGCCTTAGTTCAACTTAAGAATCCCTAAACCCTAAACCCTAAACCCTCCACCCCAAACCCTAAACCTCAAGGAAGTATTTGGACCACCAAGTCCCTGAACAATGACTATAAGAAAGATCTAATGCCTCGAGAGCTTTTTCAGCTCCCCGAACCTTCTAAGCCCTCGAGTTTAAAGATCACTCTAGACCCCAAACCCAACACCCCTAAACCCTAAACCCTGAACCACCAAAACCCTAAACCATTCGAAAACGGAGCAATCTGAGGTATGGAACGCACGACAAGAAGCTTTGAGGTGAAAAAAGAAAGCATCTCAGAGTGCCTCCGGTAGTGGGTTCGCTCCAAAGGCAGCGCAAAGCCTAAACCCTAAAGCTAAACCCTAAAACCCCTACACTCTAAACCCCTAAACCCTAAACCCCTAAACCCCATAAACCCTAAAACCTCTAAGCCCCTAAACCCCTAAACCACTAAACCCTAAAGCTGTCTGGGATATTGGAGATCAGGATTCTGAGGCCTTGGGAGCATGTTGGGTTTAGGGTTCAGGGTTTGAGGCTTCTGTGTTTGGGGGTTAGTGTTCGGGGGTTAGGCGTTTCACAGGGTTGAGGATGTAGGCATTAAGGTGTTTAGTCCCTAAGCCCTCAACCCTAAACCCTAAACCTTAGGGTTTAGAGTTTAGGGTTTAGGGGATTTCGAGTCTTATGTTCTTCAGCGTTGGCTTGTGTAGCCCTTTGCTGGGATACAAGATTGTTTGCATCGGTAGAGCTTAGGTCCCGGTTCAGGGTTCACCGGGTTCCTGCTAAGGAGCTTAATTTAAGTTATCATAAAAGGGATCTACAGTACATAATAGGGATCTACAGTAAATAATAGAGTTCTTTATCAGGGTAACTGAAATATGTTAAATCCCTCAACAAGAACCCATAGGTTCAGGTCTTGAGGTTCTCAAGATGTTACCCAAGCAGTCCTAAAGCCTGAATCCATCTCCACGAGTGCTTTCGGTTTTAGGGGGGTTTCGGGTTTCGGGTGCTTGAAGGGTTTCAGGGTCTTGGCTCGCTCCCTTTCTTATTTTCTTGCGGCTTCGCATGGAGAACTGAGGGGCGGGATGCGGCGGTCCAGCTGCTGGCTCAAGACGCTTCGCCCGCGAATCTAAAGCCCCCAAGCCCCAAAACCCTAAAAAACCCAAACTCTGAGCCTTAAAGCCCTAAGCCCTAAACCCCTAAACCCCTAAACTCTAAACCCTAACCCGGGGGTTTGTGCAGTGAAAGCGCGAATTCTTGGTCCTTACTTTGGACATCGCATGGCGGGCATAAATGCGGAGTTGAACGACGAGCACGCCGACGACGCGACATGGGTCTTGACCAGCAGCTTCTGTATTTTGACGATGCAGAGCGGCTTCGGGATGCTGGAAATGGGAAGCTCATCGAAAGGCCACGAAGTAAATATCGTGCTCAAGAATATCTTCGATGTTGTTTGTGGTGCGATGGCTTACTACATGGTAGGCTATGGCCTGTCTTATGGTGAACCTCGCCCGTTCATGAGTATTTCATTTATGGAGTTTTGTATACTGTATCGTATTGAACAAAACATGTACGCTAAGCCCTAACCCTACATCCCTAAATCCCGCTAAGAACACCCTAAACCCTAAACCCGTAACTAACAGTGCAGGAACCATCGAACTGGTTCATGGGTCAGGGCGATTTCTTCGTGGACGCCAATGATGGTGACCACATGGATACGGGACTGATCCACAGCAGGCGCCACAGTGTCGAAATCCTGGCTGTTGGTGGCTGTATATAGGGCTCCGTATGAATAGTGAGTGCACCTAAACCCAACACCCGCAACCCTGAAGCCCCCCCAACTAACAGAACACCCTACTGCAGGTACATCTTTCAGTTCAGTTTCGCTGCCACCTCGACGACGATTGTCAGCGGGTGTCTTGCAATGAGATGTCGTTTCCTGGTCTACTGCTTCTATTCGTTTTATTCTGTCATAGTGTATGCCTTCGTCGCGCACTGGGAGTGGGCCCCTAATGGATGGCTGAAGCTAGGCCGTTCTTGAACATGGCTTTCCGATTCGTTTTTGTGAGAAGGAAGAAAAATCGCATTTCTTCAGACTTAGTCTCCGACCCAAGCTCTAAACCCTCAACAAGGAACAAAAGCCATAGACTTTCGTCGAAGGGTTTCTTAACCTAAGCCCTCCAAACCCCAAGCCCTTCACGCTTGAACCGTCACCCAGGAAACAGCTTGGTGTGCACGACTTCGCCGGGAGCGGTGCTGTCAGCCTTCTGGGAGCCATGTGCCTTGGCCTGGAGCATTTCTGTAGGGTTTAGGGCTTAGGGTTTAGGGCTTAGGCTTTGGGGTTTAGGAGGGTTTCAGGATTTTTACACACTTTCTTTATTCTACGTTTTGCTAGTTTTCTGTAGTTTTGCAAGAAGCATGTTTCTTTGGGTGGGATTTATAGGTGTTCGGGCTTGGGATTCAGGGCTTAGAGGTAACACATATCCACGCTGGAAGCCCTAGATGCTGGAGGTTTGAAGCATAGGGTCTGGGGGTTCTAGGCTTTGGGGTTCAGGGAGCTTTGGGTTTGTTGCGGGGTTTAGGCGTTAGGGGGCTTTGGGATTGGTTTTATGTCGGCGGTAGGATTAGGGCTTGAGCTTCGAGGTTACCCCCATAGAGCCTAAACCCTAAACCCAAACCCTACGGAACCCCGGTAGACCCTAAACCCGAAACTCTAAACCCTAAACCCCAAGCCCTAAACTGCTAAACTCTAAATAAACCCTAAACTTCACGCAGGAATGGGCTTATCGGTATCCTGTGGCTGGGCCCCAGGTTGGGGCGCTTCGATGGGACCCGCCTTCCCACCGACTTCAAGCCACTTAGATCATCAATTAGAATAGGGCTTTGGGCTCCTTTGTAGTTTTGTTATAATCAGGAACCCGAAGAAATAATGTAGCCAACGAGAGAGCTTAAAAAAATTTGGCCTTATGAATTGTTGTCTGTGGCTGATAGTCTGAACTTTGAACCTTCTTGGGCCTGGTTATTGAAGAAGAGAGGCCATCTTCGCCGACGACCATCCTCTTCGGATTGTTCATGCTGCTTCCTGCAATGGCAAGTGTCAGTGGCAAGAATCGTGAACACCATAGGCTTGTGAGTTCTTATGTTGTCATCGAGAAATGCATTGAGGTGCGGCCTCGTGAAATTCAGGATTAAGTCAGTAAGGTCTGCAGGGGCTAGAGAGGCCAGCGGTTTCTTAAACCCTCTGAGGCTAAACCGCAAGCCAAAGACCCAATCCCTAAACCCGAATCAAAAGCAAAAAACAAACCCTAAGCCCATGACTTGCGAAAGCCCATAGTAGATACCACGTGCAGACTGCATTAAGAAACCCTGGCCCTATAGCCCCAATATATCAGGATCCACAAAAAGAACTCCAATAAAGACCCAAGGCTATGGTGGGGTTGGATTGGCTTCAACTGCGGGAGCTCCTTTGGAATTTGGAATCACAAAGCTCCTCCGCTGCAGCCTGTGGGCTCCTATTAAGGGAGCTAACTTAAGCTGCCTTTAGTTTAAGGGGGAAAAGGGTTTTGGGTTTAGGGTTTCAGTTGCCTTCGGTTGAAAGGGTAAGAGGGGCTTACTCTATTTTAGGAGAAATGTAGGGTTTTGGCGTGGAGACTATGGTGTCGTCAGTTGCATTACGTCAGCATAGTTTAGGCATGCCAGATACGGCTATGGTTCTGACATGGCAATACGGCGGATTTTTGAGTCAGCAGCAGGTCTTTTTTCTTATGCTCGTATTGGAACCTTCACTGCTGCAGCGCCTGCGGCCCTGTACAACCGTTATAGTATCAGATCCTTACAGAAGGCGTATACAGCAGAAATCACTTTAAGTATCCAGAAAGAGACTTGACCCTTTCATGGACAAAGCCCTTTTATTAGGTTCAGGGTTCTAAACTCAGACCCTTTGGATTTTTATGTTGTAGGGTTTAGAGTTAAGGGCTTACTTGGAAACCCTAAACCCTACACCGTACAGAAACCTTTGTCCCACTTCAGGACCAAATGGCTCGTCGCAACACGTGCAGGCGTGGCCACACTGAACGCCACGGCCGGGGGCGGCTTCGCTGCCTTGTTCTACACCAAGGCTGCCAGAGAGCTCGATTATGGGATTGTGTGGGTTTAGGGTTTAGGGTTCCTAAGCCCGAAGCCCCAAACCCTAAACCCCGTATATAACCCTAAACCCGAAAGCACTAAACCCTACAACCCTAAACCCCGCAAACCCCAAATCCGAAAAACCCAAACCCCAAACCACAACACCGGTTAGGGTCAAAGGCTCCCCCAAGCAAATCCGACAGAGGCGAAGTCGCGAGGTGTGCTGATCTCTCCGGAAGAGACGCCTGGAAGGTTAAAGGGGGGGTTTAGGGTTTAGGTTAAGCTTTAGGGTTTTGGGCTAAGGTTTGGTTGTGAGTTTTAGCTGTTTTTTCTAACTGTTGGCTGTAAGCCATGTAGTTTGGTTCTGGAAAGATGCGTTGTTCTTCACGTCTACTTTTTGTTTGTAGGGCTCTTGGGGCTTCAAAGTGCAGGCCTAAAAGGCGAGATTCTGGGTTTAAGAACCAGGGCTTTCTAGAAAGTCCAGACCCTGCAAATCTCTGGAACGGTTTAGGGTTTAGGGTTGAGGGGTGATATCGAATATTAAACGGTTTGGGGTTTAGCAAACCAGGACCCTAAACCCCTAAAGCCTCAACCCTGCACCGCTTCTAAGGATTGCCAATGGGCTTCTGGGCGCGCTTGTGGCCATCACAGCCACCTGTGCCTGTGTTCATCCCTATGAGGCTGCCTTGCGAGAACAGGGTTTAGGGTTTAGGGTTTAGGGTTTAGGATTTAGGGTTTAGGGAAGCAATGAAGGCTTGAGGGTTTCAGGGCATTTAGGGTTGAGGGGCTTCAGTGTGTAACAGGTCGGTGGCTTGTTCTGGTTTAGAGATGTCTTTGGAGTTTCTGGGTTTAGTTTTGGGAACAACCCGGCTTGGAACTTCCAAAGCATGTTGGTCCTGTAACCCTAAACCCTACACCCGAACCCTCAGGGTTCCTTACTATGAGTATGCCATAGCATACCCCCCCCAAGCCCTCATCTAATCATTAAGGCTGAAACCAGTGTTTAGGGGTTTGGGGATTTAGGGATTGGGCTTTGGATTTAGGGTCTACTGTTTCGGGTTTACAAGACCACTGTAAGCTTCTTTGGACCCTTATACAGTCATGCAAACTCGTATACCCTAAACCCTAAACCGACCTCTTTGTAACTGCCACACCCAAAACCCTAAACCCTTCCTGACAAAGCCTTTTGCAAGACCTGACTCCAAAAGGCACCTTCTTTTGAATCGGCAAAGCCCCTACCTGGAAACCCTGAACCCCAAAACCTTAAACTTAAGGCTTAGACTTGTTTACACCTTAGCTCTATGACCCTAAACCCTAAACCCTAAACCCTATAACCCTAAACCTTGAAACGCAAAACCGCGAGGCAGTGATCGTGGGCTTCGTTGGCTCGATTTCGGCCCTGGCCTGCAACGACCTCTTCGAGTACAGGCGGCCATAAACGGGGCCTTTGGGGCGTCGGTGTGGGGTTTAGGGTTTGGGGTTTAGGGTTTAGGGTTTAGGGTGGGCGTCAGTGTAGGGTTTAGGGTTTAGGGCAGCGCACCATGGTTTTTGCCAGTATTGCTGGGGGTTCTGTATGTCGGTTTGGACCCCAAACCCTAAACCCTAAACCGGAAAGCCCTAAACCCTTAAAGCCCTAAAAAAAGCCCAGTATTTTGGTACCACCGACGAGCTTTCCCAGAGTAGACCCAGCCTTTTATTGAAGGCCCAACCGCCCGAAGCCTTGGTTCCTGAACCCTAATTTCCCAAACCACCCCTGAACCCAAAGCTCCGAAAACCCTAGGCCCTCGATATTGAATGTTCCGGGAACCTGCGTGCCCTTCATCCTCCCCTCAACTACCTCTTGGCTAACCCTAAAGCGGCCTCAGCCTTAAACGAAGCCCTAAACCCTAAGCTCCAAATCCCAACAGACCTAGAACCCCAAAGCCTACCCTGCCTCGAGGCTGCAGATCGATGATCCCGTGGGAGCTGTGGGCGTTCATGGGGCTTCGGGCATTTGGGGTCTCATCGCGGTGGGACTCTTTGCAGACGGGAGCCTACCGGGAATTGAGGCGGGGCGGGGGTGGGGGAGGAGAAAAAAGCGTTAATATGGCGGCGTTAAGAACTCTTAAGTAGGCATCCTGCAAAGTTGGTTCCATGGAGGGTTCAACAAAGGCTTGAGATAACTTCAGCCCAAAGGAATTCCAGGTCTCGCGCCCCTATGCTAGGGAATGTGGTGGCTTGCGGGTTTGGGGTTGCAAGGTTCGGGTATGGGGTTTACGGGTATAAGGGTTTAGAATATCGGCCATACAGGTTTGTATTCTGCAGGTCTTGCCTTCAAATGTTCATATCTCACCTGAAGCCTTGGCGCCTTGGGGTCCTAAAGCTTCCTTTGAAAGTGGCCGACGCCCCAAAAAAAGCCATGAAGGCTGAAACGCCTTAAAGTCCTGAAGCCCTGAGGCCTTCGTTTAGGGTTTAGGGTTTAGGCCTAAGGCATTCAAGGCTGAAGCACCGAAAGCCCCACAAACCTAAAAGCCTGGAGAATCCCGTAGCCCTTAAAGACGCTGAAGGCAGGGTTTTGGGTGTAGGATTTGGGGGAAACCGAAAACCCAACCCTTCGATTCGCCGAACCCCCAAACCCTACTTGGCCCTGGACCGGGTGTTCCTTTGGATCATCTGCTCAAGTAGGCCATTAGAACCATTATTTTCGAAAAGAACTAGAGAATGTCAGAAGACGGAGCAAACCGCTCGAAAGACACTAGATAAAATCGAAAGGAGCAAACCGCTCGAAAGAGACAAAAGAATTTTGAATGAGGCTAGAGAACTTGAAAACAAGGGGCAAGCCGCCCGAAGTGAGTTAGAACATTTCAGAAAAAGGAGCAAAACGCTCGAAAGAGTCTAGAGAACGTCGAAAGAGCCTAGCGAAATTGAAAGCAAGCAGCAAACGGCTCGAAATCAGAAGAAGGAGCAAACCGCTGGAAAGAAACGAGAGAATTTCGAAAGAGACGGGAGAATTCGAAAACAAGGAGAAAGCCGCTCGAAAAGAACTAGAGAATTTCAGAAGAAGCAGCAACGCAGTCACAAGAGATTATAGAGAAATTGAAAACAAGGAGCAAACCGCTCGAAAAGCATGAGAAAAGTTCAGAAGAAGGGGCAAGACCTTCGAGGGAGACTAGAGAATTTGGAAAGACACCCGAGAATTGGAAGCAAGGGGCAAACCGTTCGAAAGGAACTTGAGAATTGCGGAAGAAGGAGCAAACCGCTCGAAAGAGACTGGAAAACTTCGAAAGTGACTAGATAATGCGAAAACAAGGAGCAAACCGCTCGGAAGGAAACAGAGAAATTGACAACACGGGGCAAACCGCTCAAAAGTGACTAGAGAATCTCGAAAGAGACTAGAATGTTTGAAAACAAAGAGCAAACCGCCAGAAAGAGACCAGACAATTCGAAAACAAGGAGCGCATCGCCCGAAAGGAACTGGAGAATTTCAGAAGACGCAGCACACCGCTGAACTTCGAAAACAAGGAGCAAGCCGCTCGAAAGAAACTAGAGAATTTGAAAAGAAGGAGCAAAACCGCTCGAAAGAGACCAGGAAATTTCGAAAGAGACTAGAGAATTTGGCAGCAAGGAGCAAAAGGTTCGAAAAGAACTAGAGAATTCAAAACAAGGGGCAAACCGTTCGAAAGGAGCTTGAGAATTTCAGAAGAAGGAGCAAACCGCTCGAAAGAGATTAGAAAACCCCGAAGCCCCCTTCGTCCTTCCTTTGAAGCCTTTGAAACCCCTTTCGACTTTCGAAGCCTTCAAAGCCTTCATCTTCACCGTCGACGCCTTCGAAGCCTTCCTCCCTTCAGCCTCCTCCCTCCCTTCCCCCCGACCCCCTTCAACCCTTCGGCCTCGAAGGCTTTGAAGCTCACTTCGCCGAAGAGTCACGGGATCCGGCCCCTTGCAAAACTTTTTTAAAGTTTTCTTTTTCATTTTCGTGTTTGACCCCCTAAAGCTTTTCGTGGGCTTCCAGCAGCTGTTTTCTTCTACCAAAAGAACCAGAGAGCCCGCTAACGGTGGAAGCCCGAGGCCGGGAAAGGCGTGACAGTGATCGAACCCGGCGAATTCGGGCGATAGCAGCACGCCTGGGTGAATCCTTGTCAACAAGCAAGAAAAGCCCTGTGTGGCCTGTCAATGTGTTTTCGGCCTTCCTCGACTCTGTCCATGCATGCTCGCGAAGCTGTTGAGGGCAGGGCCTACCCAGGGCAGAGAAAGAGCCTTTCCGACAGTATCCAAAAAAAAACTACGGACCAAGAAAACTCAGCCCGTTAAAGGTTGGGGGTACCGTTTAGCTCATGGTTTAGGGTTTGGGGCTTTAGGGCTTGGGGCGAGCGGTTTGCTGCTTGTTTGCAAATTCTTTAGTTTCCTTCGTCTTTCTCGAGTCTTTCTCGAGAGGCTTGCCCCTCCTTCTGAACTTCTCTTGGTCTTGGGAGCGGTTTGCTCCTTTCACTTTCTCTCTAGTCTTTTTCGGGATTCTCTATGTCTCTTTAGAGCGGTTTGCTCCGTCTTCTGAGATTCTCCAGTTCCTTTCGAGCGGTTTGCTGTCTCGTCTCTTTCCAGCGGTTTGCTCCTTCTTCTGAAATTGTTCTGTTCGAGCGGTTTGCTGCTTGTTTTCAAACTCTCTAGTTTCTTTCGAAATTCTCTAGTCTCTTTCGAGCGGTTTGCTCTCGCTGCTGAAGTTCTCTAGTTCCTTTCGAGCGGTTCGCCCCGTGGTTTCAAATTTTCTGGTGCTTTTTCGGGCGGTTTGCTCCTTCATCTGAAATTCCCTAGTTCTTTTCGAGCGGTTTGCCCCTTGTTTTCAACCTCTTTAGTTTTTTCGAAATCCCCTAGTCTTTTTCGGGAGGTTTGCTCGTTTTTCTGAAATTCCCTAGCTCCTTTTGAAATTCTCTAGTCTGGTTTGACTGGTTTGCTCCTTCTTCTGAAAGTCTCTAGTTCCTTTCGAGCGATTCGCTCCTTGTTTTCAATTTGTTCTAGTCTCGTTTGAGCAGTTTGCTCCTCTTGTTTTCAATCTGTCTAGTCTCTGGGCGGTTTGCTCCTTCTGCTGAAATTCTCTAGTTCGTTTCGAGCGGTTTGCTCCTCGTTTCGATAATCCTTAGTCTCTTCCGACATTCTGTAGTCTCGTTCGAGTGGTTTGTTCCTTCTCCTGATTTCCGCTAGTTCCTTTCGAGCGGTTTGCTCCTTGTGTTCAAACTAGCTAGTCTCTTTCGAAATCCTCGACGGTTTGCTCCTTTTTCTGAAATTCTCAAGTTCCTTTCGAGCGGTTTGCTCCCTCTGCTGAAATTCACTAGCTCCTTTCGAGCGGCTTGCTGCTTGTCTTCAAGTTTTCGAGTCTCCCTCCTTTTTCTGAAATTATCTTGTTCTTTTCGAGCGGCTTGCTCCTTGTTTTCAATCTCTCGAGTCTCTTTCGACATTCCCTAGTCTTTGTCGAGCGGTTTGCTCTTTCAGTTCTCTAGCTCCTTTCGACCCGGTTTGCCGCTTGTTGTCAATCTCCCGTCTCTTTTCGAGCGGTTTGGTCCTTGTTCTGAAAATCTCTTATTTCTTTCGAGCGGTTTGCCTCGGCGGGAGCGGGCCTGCGGGCGATTCTTCGCTCAGGCCCTTCGAAGACGACACGGGTGCCGCTTGTACTCTTGCTTCCCTTTGATGATCTTTTCGGCTTCAAGCACGTCTTCCACAAGCCTGCATTGAATTCCAAGTTCGCCCTTCGAAATCTCTTGAAACAGAAGCCGTTCTTGCTCTGGGATGACTACAGACCTGTCGAGTACACCCAGGAGACCCTACCAGTCACTGCTTTCCTGGGCTGTTTCAAGGCTTTGAAATGCATCGCGGTTGCATTATGACTGCCAAGTCCGAGGGTCTCTGGTCCTGGGTGCCATACGGTAGCGTCTCCCCAGAGGACGTGCGTCACGGCTACGTCACTGCCACCGTCCGGCAGCTCCAGGACATGGAGCCGCGCGGCAGCGCAGCACGACTCAGCTCAGCTAGTACGTGTCCTGCCCCGGCTAGAAGTGGAGCCAGCGATAGAAGCTGCGGGTGTGGATGGACTTGCAGCTCTATGCGTGCAAGCCCGCTTTCCCGCAGAGAAGATGCAGTGCATTGACGCCGAGCTCCGCTCTCTGGGTGCCTTGCATGTGGTGGAGCTTGCTGCGGAAGATTGGAGGCGTTTGCCACAGCTTGCGGGGAGTTGCTACTTTTCGAGCAGCGCCGCCTCCTCTCAGCAGTCTGCAGCTAATGCGCAGTCACGCAGCTTGCCTCCAAGAGGAAAACAGGTCGCATGCAGGGCCGCTGCGATAGTTGCGCCGCTGCGTTCATCGCTCTATGTCTCTAACGCTCTAGGTCTCTTTTGAGATTCTCTAGTCTCTTTCGAGCAGCTTGCTCTTTGTTTTCAATCTCCCTAGTCTTTTTTCGATCTTCTCTAGTCTCTTTCGAGTGGTTTGCTCCTTCTTCTGAAATTCTCTAGTTCTTTTTGAGCGGTTTGCTCTTCGTGTTCAAATTCTGAAGTCTCTGTCGAAGTTGTCTAGTCTGGTTTGAGGTTCCTTTCGAGGGCTTGCTCCGTGTTCTCAGACTTTCTAGTCTTTTTCGAAATTCTGGGATCTCGTTCGAGCAGTTTGCTCCTCTTGTTTTCAATCTCTCTAGTCTCTTTAGGGCGGTTTGCTCCTTCTTCTGACACGCTCTCGTTCTTTTGGAGCGGTTTGTTCTTCGAAACTCGCTAGTCTCCTTCGACATTCTCTAGTCCCTTTCGAGCGGTTTGCTCGTTCTGGCATTCTCGAATTCCTTTCGAGCGGTTCGCTCCTTGTTTTCAATTTTCTCTAGTCTGTTTCCAGCGGCTTGCTGCCTCTGCTGAATTCACTAGCTAGTCGCCTTCCTTTTCCTCAAATTCTCTCGTTCTTGTCGAGCGGCTTGCTCCTCGTCTCTCTGAGCGGCTTGCTCACATGTTTTCTTCTTTGGTCTTTTCTGGAAATTCTCTAGTCTCTTTCGGGCTGTTTGCTCCTTCTTCTGAAATTCTCTAGTTCTTTTCAAGCGGTTTGCTGCTTGTTGTTAAACTCGCTAGTCTCTTTCGAACTTCTCTAGTCTTTTTCGTTCGGCTTGCCCCTTCTGCTGAAAGCCTAAAGCTCCTTCCGAGCGGCTTGCTCTTCGTTTTCAAATTATCTAGTCACCTTGTTTCTCTTCTCTAGTCTTTTTCGAGCGGTTTGCTCATTCTAAAAATCGCTACTTCCTTTCGAGCGGCTTGCTCCTCGTTTTCAAAACTTAGTCTCTTCCGAAATTATCTAGTGTCTTTCGGGCGTGTTGCTACTTCTTCTGAAATGCTCTAGTTCCTTGCGGCGGTTTGCTCCTTGTTTCGATATACTTTCCTCTCTTCCGACATTCTCCAGTCTCTTTCGAGTGGGTTGCTCCTTCTTCTGGAGCCCCCTACGTAGTTTTTTTTTCGAGCGGTTTGCTCCTTGTTGTCAATCTCCCTGGTCTCTTTCGGCCTTCTCTAGTCTCTTTCGAGCGGTTTGCTCCTTCTTCTGAAATTCTCTGGTCTCTTTCGAGCAGTTTGCTTTTGTTTTCAAACTCCCTAGTCTTTTTTCGAAATTCTCTAGTCTATTTCCTGTTTCTGGAATCCCCTAGTGCCTTTCGAGCGGTTTGCTCCTTGTTCTCAAGTTCTCTAGTTCTCTAGTCTCTTTCGTGCAGCTTGCTCAGTGTCCGGAAATTATCTTTCGAGCGGTTTGCTCCTTTTTGCTCTTGCTCCTTTGTTTCAATATCTCTAGTGTCTTTCAATCGGTTTGCTCCTTTTTTGGTCCTTTGTTTCAATATCTCTAGTCTCTTTCAAGCGGTTTGCTCCTTTTTGCTCCTTTGCTTCCATATCTCTAGTCTCTAGGTCAAGCGGTTTGCTCCTTTTTTCTCCTTTGTTTCAATATCTCTAGTCTTTTTCAAGCGGTTTGCTCCTTTTTGCTCCTTTGTTTCAATATCTCTAGTCTCTTTCGAGCGGTTTGCTCTTTTTTGTTTTTTGTTTCAATATCTCTAGTAGTCTCTTTCGAGCGGTTTGCTCCTTTTTGCTCCTTTGTTTAAATGTCTCTAGTCTCTTTCAAGCGGTTTGCTCCTTTTTGCTCCTTTGCTTCAATATCTCCAGTCTCTTTCGAGCGGTTTGCTCCTTTTTGCTCCTTTGTTTCAATATCTCTAGTCTCTTTCGAGCGGTTTGCTCTTTTTTGTTTTTTGTTTCAATATCTCTGGTGTCTTTCGAGCGGTTTGCTCTTTTTGCTCCTTTGTTTCAATATCTCAAATCTCTTTCGAGCGGTTTGCTCCTTTTTGCTCCTTCGTTTCAATATCTCAAGTCTCTTTCGAGCGGTTTGCTCCTTTTTGCTCCTTTGTTTAAATGTCTCTAGTCTCTTTCAAGCAGTTTGCTCCTTTTTGCTCCTTTGTTTCAATATCTCCAGTCTCTTTCGAGCGGTTTCCTCCTTTTTGCTCCTTTGTTTCAATATCTCTAGCCTCTTTCAAGCTGTTTGATCCTTGTTTCCGATATTTCTAATGCCCTTTGGAACGGTGTGCTCGTTGCTCTGACAATTGGTCTGAAATTTTCAATCTCGTTCGCTTGGTTAGCTCCTTGTTCTCAAATTCTCCAGTCTCTTTGCGGCCTTTTGCTCCTTGTGCTAGTATTTTCCGAGCGGTTTGCTCCTTTTACTCAAACTCTTCAGTTTTTTCGTTTGATTTGGATCTTGTTCTGAAGCTCTCTAGGTTTGCTGCTTATGCTAGTCTTTTCGAGCGGGTTGCTCCTGTTCCTGAAATTCTCTAGTCTCTTTCGTTTGGTTTGGTGTTTCTTTGGGGCGGTTTGCTCCTTGAGCTAATCTTCTCGGGCGGCTTGCTCCTGCTACTCAAATTCTCTAGTCTCTTTCGTTTTGGTTCGGTTCTTGTTCTGAAGCTCTCTAGTCGTTTCGAGCGGCTTGCTGCGTTTGCGCAAAAGACCCAATCTCTGAGGAGCGGTTTGCTCCTTCTTCTGAAATTCTCTAGTTCCTTTCCAGCGGTTTGCTCCTTGTTCGCAAATCCCCTAATCGTTTTCGCGGTTTGCTCCGGTTGCTCAAACTGCCAAGTCTTTCGAGCGGTCTGCTCCTTGTTCTCGAAGTCTCTCGTCTCATGGTTTGTTTTTGCTCGTTGTGTTCTTAAATATTCTAGTCTTTGTCCAACGATTTTCCCCGTGTTTTCTCAAATCCACTAGTCTCTTCCGAGCGGTTTACGCCTTGTGTTCTTTAGTTGCTTGGTCTTGTCTGAGCGGTTTGCTTTTTCTCACTCAAATTCCAAATCTCTGTCGCTTGGTTTGCTGTTGCCGTAGTCTCTTTCGAGCGGTTTGCTCCTTTTCTCGAGTTACCAAAAAAGCTTTTTGAGCAGTGTGCTCCGTATTCTGAAATCCGCAAGTCTTTTGCGAGCGGTTTGCTCCTTGTTTTTAAACTTTGTGGTCTCTTTCGAAATGTTTGCTCCTTGTTCTCAAAGCCTCTAGTCTCTTTCGAGCGGTTTGCTCCCGTGTTTACAAACTCTAGTCCTTTCCCAGCGGTTTGCTCCTTGGTTATCAAAGTCTCTAATTTTTTTGGAGCGGTTTGCTCCGTGTTTTCCAATTCTCCCGTCTCTTTTCGAACGGCTTGTTCCCTGTTCTGAAACTCTCTATCCTTTTCAGGCTTTTCTCAAGTTCTCTAGTCTTTCAAGCGGTTTGCTCCTTGGCCCACAAAATTTCAAACATCTTTCGAGCGCTTGGCGTCCTGTTCTCAACTTCTCTGGGTCTTTTTCGAGCGGCTTGCTCCTTGTTCTGAAATTCTCTAGTTTCTTTCGAGCGGATTTTCTCAATGTTCTCAAGTTCTGTAGTCTCTTTCGATCGGTTTGCCCCTGGGTCTCAAATTCTCTAGTCTCACTCGGGAAGTTCGCTCCTTATGTGCTCAAGTTGTCTAGTGTTTTTCGATCGGTTCGCACCTACATTCTTAGATTCTCTGGTTTTCTCTTTGTTTTTTCGAGCGGTTTGCTCCTTCTTCTCGAATCCTTTAATTTCTTTCAAGTGGTTAGCTCCCTGTTCTCAATTGTTTTAGTTTCTTTTGAGTGGCTTGCTCCTTTTGTCAAATTCTCTAGTTATTTTTGAGCGGTGTGCTCCTTAATTGCATAATCTCTTTCGAGCGGTTTGCTCCTTTTTGCAGCCGCTTGCCTTTTGTTGCTCAAATTTGCTAGAGTTTTTCGAGCCGTGTGCTGAAAGTCCCTAGTCTCCTTCGAGCGGTTTGCTTCTTGTGTTCTCAAGTTTTCTCATTTTTTTCGAGCGGTCTCTTGCTCTTGGTTTGCTCTTTTTAACCCTATAAACCCTACACCCTAAACCCTAAACCCTAAACCCTAAACCCTAAACCCTAAACCCATTTGCTCCTTGCCCTCGCGGGCCTCCTGCCCTTCGGAGGCTCCCGGCTCCCTGGCTTTTGGCCTGCCTCTCCACGTTCACGTTTCTTATTCTCGTCCTTCTCCGTTTCCTTTCTTTCTGCGTCTCCCCTACCCTCACCTAACACTTTTTTTTTTTCCCTTCCCTTCCTTGCCCTTCCAGTCCTTTC